TTTTTTTAAAGATTTTATGTATTTATGCATTCAGAACTGGGGTCCAGGCCAGAGGTGCAGGTAGGGGTCTTGAGAGGATTCACCAGAGACAGAGCGGGGAGTAGAACAGGCAGATGGACGAAGTACACTGCTGAGGGGAGCAGCGGGCGGGTCAGGAGAGGTCTGACTGCGCCATCTGGGTCAGCTCTGAGATGGGGATCGAACCCACACTGATGCAGCCACAGCCAGCTTCGCAGTGCTGCACTCCAACCTGCTGTGCCACCAGGGCGGGCCCCAAGAAAATTGTTTTTAAAACTGGGATTTCAGGCCCCCCTCCTCCCAGAGCCGCCACAGGTTAAAGCATAGCATTACGCAGCCATCTCAGCATGAGGTTAATCCTCGGTCAGGGAGCTGACCCACATGGCATGGCAGACCTCTCCTGTCCTGCCCGCTGCTCCCCTCAGTAGTGTGCTTAATCAATCTGCCTGCTCTGCTCCCCGCTCTGTCTCTGGTGAATCCTCTCACTGCCCCTGCACCTCTGGCCTGTGCCCCAGTTCTGTATGCACAAACAAATAAATCTTTACTGTGTCCCTGAGCCAAAGAGGAGAAGACACAGGGCGGAGAGGGACAGAGATGACACCACTAGGAGGTGGGGCAAGACCCATCCCCGAAGCTCCTCACTCCCCAGATGTATGGAAGGTGGATCCTGCCGGCCCTTGCAGCCTTAAGGCAATGTACTTGGCATGAAGCAAAGAAGTGCCACACCAAGGGGATGTAATGTGAGGCTGCCAGACAAAGCCCACCGGAAAACCCTAGCAGAGCTTGCCCACCACAGCGCCTAGCAGAGCTGATAGGCATTTGTTCCTGCTGGGGCACCGGGAGCCAGATGAGCAGGACTGAGCGGCAGAAAGGAGAGCATGACCCGGACTTGGGCAGTCACCCGAGGGTGTCCTTCTCCCCTCCCTTTCCCTCACCATCCTTAGAGATCACAATCAGAGAGAAGGGAGGAGGTGTTTCTAAGAACAGACCAGATGCTTCCCAATGCCCAGTCTGCTCGCACTTCCCCTCAACAAAGCAACAGCACCCCACATCTCTGCCAGGGTCAAAGGAGGCCTCTGATGGAATACGTCCAAGAGTGAGCTATTAACTGGACTGAGCATTCGTTGCAAGGACCATCGCGTTCAATTGCCACTAAATAATTGGGAGAAATTATAGGGGAGCAAAGAAAGAGAAAATCTTTCCCTGTCTAACCCCCAAAGAATTGAGATTTCTTCATTGGCATGAGCGACCAGGTATTGCTGACCTCCCTGTTCTAAACGCCCTTGGAATCCTGCCAGGAGGCACCTGTAAGGAGCAGGGCTGGCCCTATAGTGAGCTCCTCCTTTCTATTTCCGCTCTTTAGTTACTTTTTCCCAGCACTTAGTTAAAATATTTGTATTGTTTAGAAAGAAACTGCAGTGTTTCTTTCATGTAGCTCTAAGCCTACAAATCCATCTGACAGTTTAAGTGACTTAGAAGTCATCTGCGCTCTTATCTGTGTGGCTGGTTAGATTGCACCAAAGCAAAATCACTGGCTGGGATCAAATTGGAATCTGACCTCAAATCCTTTTTTTACTGCTGTAGCATTTCTGTCTGGTGACAAAGGCAATACATGTCAGCAGCCCGTGCAATGTCTATGACAGGAAAGAAAGCAATCAAAGCAAGGAAACCCCATCAATCATGTGGGGCTCAGCTGTCCTGCAGGTTTTTCTGGCAAACCTTGGAGAAGGATCTGGGGGAAGGCAGAGCCTGAGTCTTTTTTGATTGTCATGAGTCAGTGAGCAGCTGGGACAGATGTCTTTCCTCATGACCAGGACATCAGAAGGATCTGTGTGTGAGGCAGAATTCTTGAGAGATGACATTCAGGTCAAACTTGAGTTGAATGAAGTAAAGACAAGTTGGAGGCTAAGTGAGCCTTGAGATCTTGGATGCTGAGGGACAGGAAGATAGAAGCAAGGTGCAAACTTGGTAATGTGTACAAGGCTTTTAAGGAAGGAAAAGACGAGGGGAAGTTATATAACAGAGACAGCTATACATTCATAGACTCCATTTTCCTTTTCACCTGTGGAGACAGCTGGACTACATTTCCCAGCACCCCTTGCAGTGATGTCAGCCCATGTGACCAAAAGCAGACCAATGAATATGGAGAAAGGATGATGGTCATTAAGGTTACCCCATGGAAATTTCCTATGGGGTTCCCTCTACCTGCCTCCCACCCTTCACGCCAGTTAGCTCCTGAAGAAGTCTCTGAGGCCCTCAGGATGGAAAAGCCCAGATGGAAAGAAACTTTGTTCTTGAGTAGAGTGCAAAATGCCCTTTGCCTGCTCCATGAATCCTCATTAAATTGTGATTTGAGGAAAAATGAATATGTATTGGTGAGCCCCTAAAATTTAGAATTGTTTGTTACAATAATGAACTTACTATGATTGCTAAAATTTATTTACAGGGTTTTTAGACATATGAAGCTGAAAGACCCCAGAAATTTACTAATCTAGTCCCCACAGGAAAGTAGTATACCCCCTAAGTGAAATGGAACGTGGCCTTTAAAAATTATAACTTAAAATGCTGTTTCAAAATACGAGACAAAATGAAATAAATACTTCAGAAATAGAAAGTGAATTGGAAAGAAAGAATAATAACAGAACTTGTGTTAGGAGACTATTGGTGATTTTTATTTTCTTCTTTTTCCTGCTTTCTCCTATTTCCCTGAATGGTACATATTTTACTTGGCACAAAAAATAAAACATATAGAACCCCATGCAGAGGTTGTTGGTGAAGGGCCTTGAATGTGTGAGGCCCTCAGACACTGGGAAGAGCCAGGTGCCTCATTCTGGCCTGGGTTCTGACTGCTCTTCCTCTACGGGGAGATCCAGCAGGCCAGATTTCCCCAGCAAAGTCATCACTAGGGTACGGTGGAAGGGAGGACCCCCGAGCAAGCCCAGCTCAGGACTCACTTGGTGATGCAGTCCTCCTGTTTGTCATAGGCGTGGATGATTCCCAGGCCCTGCATGGACGAGGTGATGTGAGAGAACCAGGGGGACCGGCTGATGTTCTCCACCTTCTTGAGCTCCTGGATGCCTTTGTGGAAAATGCTGCGGGGAAATCAAGCACCAACTTCGCCCCCAATACCCAGTGTGGGAATGGCTTTCCTCTCCACCTCCCTTTGCTGTCTGCCAGCTGCAGCCTACGTCCCATGTCTCATTCAGACTCCAGAGTTCTGGAGTCTCCCATCCCACCATCCAGGCCTGATCTTTCCATGGCTCCACCTGCCCTCCGCTCCATGGCCATGTTTCTAAACATGGCTGTGGGTGAGGTGTCTTTGGGTGAAAACAAATAACCAATCCTGCTTACAGGTGGTAAACAGGGTTCAGGATTCGTGCATTTAATGCATTACAGTTTGGGGAGCAGTATCCCACTCAGAGTCAGGTTCATCTAGAAGCAGAACGGATATTGTGTTGAGCTTTACAGGAAATCAAAGTGCACGTGACCTTGTACTCCATTTTTTTTTTTTTAATTTATTTATTTAGACATGCAGAAGTGGGGTAAAGGCCAGAGGTGCAGGGGCAGTGAGAGGATTCACCAGAGACAGAGTGCTGAGCAGAACAGACAGATCCACTGAAGTACACTGCTGCCGGGAGCAGCGGGTGAGACAGGAGAGATCGGATGCACCCTATGGGTCACCTCCAGGGCTGGGGATCGAACTGGCACTGAAGAGGCTACAGCCAGCTTGCAGTGCTGCGCTTTAACCTGTTACACCACCAGGGAGGGCCCCTGCACTCCATTTCTAATTGACAAGCCTCTCCAGCCCCATAGTCTTGCTGGATCCTCACCAGCACCCTGAGGAACGGGTGAGGACATGTTTCAATAACGACTATTTGGGAAACTGAGGGGAGCAGTGTTTTCCTGGCCTCAGCAAGGTCCTCCAGCTAGAGGCGCTGCAGAGCAGGTCCCTGGGATAGAGCTCTCTGGCTTCCTCCTTTTCCCTCACACAATACCCACCATACCGCCAGCTCTGAACTCTCCTCGCTAGTCCCAGGGACACAGAAAAGCTGTGGTTCCTGGAAGGCTGGAACCAACACTGTCTCCTGCTCCCCACCCCAGGTTGGGGGTGAAGATGGACAGGAGACACCTCAGGAAGACTCTTCAGTGCAAAGCCACAGCCAGAAGCCTTTCTTTAACTTGACAGTGTTTACGGGAAGGTAGGGGATACTTGTGCGGCTTAGGAGAGCTGAGGCCTGGTTTCCTTTCTCCTCCAGTGGCGGGCAGGCAGGACCCATGGTTAAGAACATGACAGTGGACAGAGACCAGACGTGGTTACTAGTTTCCTGGTAACTTCCACTGACTTAACTTCCCAGCAACACCCACCTCGCCGGGGCCCTCTGAGGCTAAAAGCCTTAACACCTGGGATTTTGTCAGACTGAAAAAATCTACGTGCCCCACCATTCAGCGAAGACAACGAGCACCCGGAGCACATGGTCCTACCCAGTCCTTGTGCAGTTAACTACAGACACACCAGCTTTGTTTGCTTCATTTTACACAGAGCGTCACCTACCGCAGGAGAATGAGGAAGCCCACAGCCAGGCAAGCCAGGACTAAGAGAACAGCAGGAAACACGGCAGCCAAGATCACGAGGATAAACAGCACCATAAAAAACTGCTGCAGAAAGTTCTCCGCGTGAAACGGCAGCCTCACATCCAGCTCGTCCATATCCTTGGAAAAGCGGTTCATTAGCCTGCCAGTGGGAGTCGTGTCAAAGAAGCTCATCGGGCTCTTTAAGATCTGTGGGTAAGGACAGAGAGGTGGGTGGAGTCGTGTTCAGAACACCCCAGGCACTCGGCAGGATGGTGAGCCTGAGCTTTGCTCCAGGGCCCCACCAGAGCCCAGGGGGCCCGGGAAAGTGAGCCTGGGCCCCATTCTTGTGGCCACTGAGCAGGAACGGGAGGTAACCTTGGAACCCCAGGGAGAGCCCCCCAGGGCCGGCTTCCCTCCAAGCCTGGGCTTTGCAGGCTGAGGGATTTCATGCCTAAAGGCAGTTAAGCCAAGCCCCCCTGAGTCCTCAGGGCTCTCAGAGCTGCAGCGGAAAGAGAAGGGGCCGAAGCATCTCCTGAGACCCTGAAATTCTCAGAGCCTTTGGAAATGGAGATGTCCTCTTAGCCGTGTAGGTCTGCTCCCCTGTGGGGGCCTTAGGGAAACCTCAACACCCATCCCGATCCTAGCCTAAGGGCCCATGGCAAGCCTCCCTCCCCCTCCCCCCACCTCCAGTTTGCCTGCGCCACTGATCATCTTCTACTGGAACACTCTTCCCACACCAGACTGGGAGTCCTCCAGTTACACTGTCGGCAGAGCCCAGCATGGAGCCCTGGCCACAGGCAGCCCACGGCTGTACCTTGTCAAACACTTGGTCATGCAGTGAGGAGGAGGCCATCAGGGTGGTCTTGGTGAAGGTGAAGCCTTTGGCGATGCCAAACACCAGCACGGACACCATGCTGGCCGCGTACACCCACTGGTACAGGTGCTGCCCGGTGTCGGCCAGCACAGCGCCAACCTCACATGGGCTCCCGTTGCCCAGGGACCCACAGGTCATCTTTGGGGGAAAACAAGAAACAGCACCGAGAACCGGTCAGCTGTCCGGTTCAGGAAGACTCTCAGGAAGTTTCCAGAGAGTCTTTCCCGAGAGAAGAAACTAAAAATAAAAATAGGTGCGGGCCCTCCCTGGTGGCACAGCGGGTTGGAGCGCAGCTCTGAGAAGCTAAGCCAAGCTGTGGCCGCTTCGGTGCGAGTTTGATCCCTGCCCCAGAGGTGACCCACATGGTGGGACAGACCTCTCCTGTCTCCCCGCTGCTTCCCTCAGCAGTGTACTTCACTGATCTGCGGGTTCTGCTTCCCACTCTGTCTCTGGTGATTGCTCTCGCCACCCCTGCACCTGTGGCCTGTGCCCCAGTTCTTTATGCGTAAATAAATAAATCTTTAAAAAAAAAAAACAGGTGCATAACTGTTCAGAATGAGTGGCTCCATTCTGAGTAGTCTGAGGAATTTGCACACAGCATTCCATAGTGGTTCTGATGCAGGGATGAATTGGGGGAGAGGGGAGGTAAACTGTTTTAAAATAAGCAATAATGAAAATAGCTATATAAATTAGTAAATTTAATTTAAAAAATGAATGAGGCGGTCAAATCAAATTGGTTCCTTTTGGGGGCCTCTGAGCTTTGTGTAGGTCCTACTGTGCCTCCATGACCCCAAAGAGTATCTGACCAAGGAGGCTCAGCACAGTGAAGAGGAAAAGAGAGGCAGACGCCGGGCAGCCATCTGGAAGCTGACTGCACCTCAGGAGCCCAGAGGTGAGGCTGATCCAGGAAGATCCAGACGCAAAGGACAGCTGGACGCCCCAAGGCTAACTTAGTATTGGGAGTGACCAAGTGCGGGACTAGTGAGGGCGGTAATAAACTAGGCCTTGCATCCAAGGGTGAAACATTAACTGGGCCTCGCATCCGGGAGATACCAGTGGGAGGAACTGGGCCTGGCATCAGGGGGCACAGCGATGAGTCACCCCTTGGGAATGTGAACCTAGAATCTATATGAGAGACCCTTTTCCTATAAGACCCTTCCCCCTTTATTGAGTTGGCAGTAGCTGCGGACCCCGCCCTAGGGGCTCCGTCTCAGCTGCTGCCCGGGAGCAATAAACTCTGCTTGCTCAGCCTTTCTGCCTCCTGCCTTCCTTTCTTGCCACCGGTCACAGAAGTCGGGACAACACACTTAGGAGCCCTCAGGTAGCCCCAGTACCACCAAAAGGTCTTCAGGAAACTCAGGGCCAGAGACTCGGGGAGAGCCAGCTGCCCCTGCCTTTCCTGATCTCTGGGACACCTGGAGGACATGGGCCACTGCCCCAGCTCCTGTGCGGAGGGGGAAGGGCAGGACTGGGGGGTGGGGTGGCTCCGCCCTGCTCAGAAAGAACACCCCTTTTGCCAGCATTTCTGGGGAGAGGCCATCTCCTCCTCTTGAGGAACTGGCAATTTCATTTTCTCCGAGCCTGGTGCTAAAAGTCAAGACTGCCTTTGGGGCACAAACAAGCATCTTTCTTCTAAATGCCATTCTGCTGATTACAGCAGTAGCAGAAATGTAAACCAGAGGTGACAGCTGATGGATGAACAGCCATAAAGGCAGAAGCTCCCTGGGGAGCTAACTGAGGAGAGGCCCAGCTTGAAGAGGAGGTTTCTCCTGCTTGGGCCCATGAGGCCTGGGGCAGGGGCGCCATTAGCGCTGCTTGGTTAAGTCGCCCAGTGGCCACCGGCCTACTGGGGAGGCTCCACCTTGACCCAAAACTGGACTCTCCAAGGTTCAGGGTGCTTCAAGCATCAGTGAGGATGGGGGGGTCCCATGCCTTCCAGAAGGTTCTCTCACTTGGCAGAGCAAGCCACCCACTGGCTTCTCCCCAAAACTACAGCCTCAGGAAGCTGTGTGGAACTCCGGAAGGCGGTAGCTGCCTCTCCCCTGCCCGCATCTCCCCACTGCCTCTGCACTTTGGTTGTCATAGCAACAGAACTGTACCAAAATGTAATCTGGAAGGGTGGGCACGCAATCCCACAACATTCCCTGGGGGCTCCCAGAAAGCTCTGAAACCACTGGGCAAAAGCTGCAGCCAGCTTGAGAAGACTCATCTATCAGTCCTTCCCGGGGGACCACAGAGACAGACACCGGGGCCCTGTAGGGTAGCCAGGGGCTGAATCTGACCTTGTGGGTCCCCTTCCTGTAGAAGGACTTTGGGGAGCAGAATCAAGTGGAACCCTCTGACACTGGACCTAGTCAAGGACAAGATGCCAATTTCTCTTCAGTGGCAGGAAGACACTTGTCTGTGCTAGGCCTCTCCAGCCTGTGTCAGCCCCGACTCAAGGTGCCTTACCACAGAGATCGCAAAACTGGTCCTCATCCTGCCTAGGGTGACAGACAGACCACATTTGCCACATACAGTATGCTTTAGTCACCTCTTTAAAAATGCAGGTGGCACAGCGACAGCCACCTGTTCTACTTGTCTGGAAATATCAGAGAGGATTTCAACTGACCTCAACTTTGAGCACGTTGTGTGGTGTGGGGAGAACTCAGCTTCCCCATCCGCAACGGAAGCCGTATGTTCAGGTACCAAAGGGAAACTCACCTGTGAGCCCTTGTCTAACCAGAGACCCAGCCACCAGTTGCTGAAGGCGGAGCTGCCGATCATCAGGAGGAACAGGGATACTCCACAGAGAGAGAGCAGGTACCCTGCAACAAGGTGGGGAGGCCCAGGGGGTTACCTTCCTCGGGGCTCAACCCTGGTGGGAGATCCCAAGCCTGCAGAAGGGCCCCCACCCTTAGGACTAACGGTGATATGAGAACACCAGATATCCCCCCACCCCAAACTCCAGTGGGAGTATCTGTTCCATTTGGCTAGAAAGCGAGATCCTCAAGACGCAGGAATCCCACCCACAGGCACTTTCATAGAAGCGACCCAGTATTCTTTAGAAATAAATAAATAAAAAGCCAGCCTTGCCGGGGACAGACGGGGAATGAAGCTACAACGCATGTTTTGCACACCGAGATGGAAATCTTGCATTGAAGGCAGCCAGTGGGCTGGCTGCTGCCGTACTCGCGATTAGAGAGCAAGGTTGCAGAAGAAACTCCCTGGTTCCTACTGCTGCTCACTCAGTTCCCACAAAGAGAGTCTGGCAGCTTTAATGGAGATAAAGGGTGATTCCATTTAAAAGGCCGTGTTATCAGCCTTCTGATTTTTAAGGCAGGAAAATAAAAGCCTTGATGAATGGCTCTGGCATAGCGTAATTGTCAAAGAAACCATAACACGTGAACCCTGCAGTTTAAGAACAGCTTTCTTTTCATGCAAATTAAATCAAGAAATCCATTGTTTTATACCGAACCTCCGGAAGCTTTGATATAAGTGTGATACGTTTTCCAGGTCACAGTCCCTTCCTTGGGGGATTCGTTCTGGACGAGCTGGTGCAGAGGAACTATGGAGACAAACACAAGTCCCGTGGCATCCACAGTGTGGGTGAAAGCCCCGGGGGGGTGGGGACCCCTTCTGCACACACCGTCCCCCAACTAACAGCCAAGACCATCCTGCATTTGCCCTGTGCTTTACAGCAACAGCACACTTGTGCCCATCCTATTTGGTCCTCGTTTCGGCCCTGTGAGGCGGTGGCGTTAAGTCTTTCCAGAAACATTGATTAAGCAGCTACTATGTGCTGGGAAGACAGGAGCTATCTTGGTCGAGCTCTCCAGAAACAGAGCCTAAGAAGAGAATATGAACACTTGAAGTTTTTGAGGGGGCTACAGGGAGTGGGAACGAGATGGGCTGTCCACAAGAAAGCTGTCTCATCAAGTCAGCCTATCTGTGGGTGGCCAGAGCTTGAGCCCAGGCGGAGAAAGCCCCGGGCACTCTAGGTCATACCGCAGAGGCTTACCGCGCGATCAGAGGGATCTGAGATGTTTTTATAGCAACTCTCATGGACCACTTCCAACCTGACCTGAGGCCTGCAGCCACCAGAGAGACAGCGAGGAGGGGCACACACCACCTGCTAAGGACCCCACAGCATCCACTGCCGGGTGAGCCAGAAGGAAGCAGCCCCGCCTTTCTGGAGCTCACGCCAAGCAGAACAAACTCAGTGCACCCTCCCAGCAGCTACATGGGCTCCCAATTCCCTCGACGTGTCTTCTCCATTTCCCAAACGGAAGGGAAAATGGCTGTCAAGTTCTCTTGGAAACAACATTCAGAGGTACAGAGATACTGGCTGAAACAGCAACCGGGGCTGAAAGCGGGTTTCTTCTTCATGCTCCACAGAAAAGCGTGAAAATGTCACTCCACAGCGGAAGCCCGAACCAAGCCTGCTCTTATATAGACAGATAAATGGAGCAGGCCAGGGGGCGCCTGCTCTTGTCGCTGCACCTCAAAGGCACTCCCATGAATAGAGTCATGTGCTACCCTCTGCCTGGGGACCTTCGCATGTCTTTGAAAATGTTCGGCCTGGCTCGGACTCATTGTATTTCTCTTTGGGACTGAAAAATGAGGGAGATGCCTCGGCAGGTTGGCAGAGCCTAATGAGCGGCGTCCTGGAGCTCAAAAGAGCTGGTGAGGTGCCCCGCAGCCCACAGCCCAGCGTGGCGCCCTCCGGCCCACCTCGGCTCGCCTTCCCTGCACGCCAGGAAACGCACCCACGCAGCTGGCACTGCCAGTTGTGACTTTCACAGCACCTAAATCCTCTCTCCTGGCCAGAGGAAGAGGTGATGGGGAGAAAGGAGAGCAGAGTTTATTTGCTCCATAAAATCCCGCATCCAGGCCCTCCCTGGTGGTGCAGCGGGTTAGAGCACAGCCCTGAGAAGCTAAGGCCTCTTCCTCATGAGTTCAATCCCTGCCCACCCTGGAGCTGACCCTCAAGGCACGGCAGACCTCTCCTGACCCGCCCGCTGCTGCCCTCAGCAGTGTACTTTGTTGATCTGCCTATTCTGCTTCCCTCTCTCTCTCTAGTGAATCCTCTCCCTGCCCCTGAACCTCTAGCTTGTATGCCAGCTCTGTATGCCCAAATAAATAAACCTTAAAAAAAAAAAAAATCCCGCATCCTGGGCAGCCTGGAACTTTCCAGGGAAAACATGAAGAGAAGTTTGGGTAACTCACTTCCGCCTTGGCAGCCTCCAGAGCAATAAAAATATGTCATCTTTCCAAACGTGCCTGCTTTTGTCACAAGCGCCATTCATGATGCCAAAACCCCACCCACTCAGAGGTTCTCATCTTTTTTTCACTTTTTAATGTCCCTGAATTCAGGATGTGTCTCCCTTTCAGTGGCATGCCATGGGTCTAATTGGCAGAGATTTTTCTCTCTAAGTGGTACATAAAATGATGGTAATCGTAAAGTGGATGCATCTTAAATTTAATGAAATACAATAAGTTTTTTTCAGCTACACATAATTGAGGAACAGAACTCTGATACAGCCGCCTTGCTGAAGGCACTCTGAAGACAGAGATTGTGGAGTTGATTCCTGCCATGTCAAGTCCCAGCAGAAGCGAGGACAGGTGCTCACCAGATGCTGACTAGCGGAGGAGGGGAGGGAGGGTGTCCAAGGAGGAAAAGCAGTTTGGTTGAGAGAGATGTGGCTCATCTCCCACACCCCTGCCTTCCAGGGACTCCTCATACTCCCCACCCTCTCTCTCACTGTGGAGTCCCCTGGCAAACTCCTACACATCCTGCAAGGTCACCCCCTCAGTGAAGTCCTCCCTGACCTGTTCCTCCCACTCCAAGGTCCCACTCACAGTTCCCCTTGACTATCCACTTGTCTGGGACATATAGCAGACCGTGGATCCTGAGCACAGGGCATAGTTTTTTTCTCTCAGCCTAGCACAGCACAGAGTAGGATGCTTAGTCCTTATTTGCTGAAAGAATAATAACCGTACCCCATCTCCATCTCTTCACTGCCTCACAATCCTTTCCCAATGCCCCCCATAGAGTGGGAGAAAACTCCTGTGTGTGCTTCTGCTTCTGATTAAACTCTGTGCACTGCTTGGATCTTTCCAACTAATAATATTAACTACTATGTCTGGTCTCACTTTAGGTATAGACTCATGGAGTTTTTGCAAGAACCTATGAGGCAGTTACTGTCCCTCCCGTCTTACGGAATATGACACTAAGGTGACCGAGTGTCTTCCTCAACGTCACAAAACTATTAAGTTGTTAAAGCCAGAATTTGGGCTCAGGCAGTTGCATCCCAGCTTCCACTATTCCAGCCTCCCCAGAAGGGCACATACACTGAGCCCACACTTCAACCCAGGTGGTAGATGCCAATGAATATTTAAGACAATGTCCCCGAGGGAATAAACAGTAAATACCTTTTGCATCTGCAAATTCTGAGTCTGCCGCTGTTTCTTTTCCTTCGTCTTTCTCAACTCCTGGAGCCAAAGCTAGGGTGAAAAATAGAGAGAGATCTGTGTCCACTCGTGAGTCCAGGGCGGTAAGAGAGGCGTGATTCGAACTCTGATTGTACCAGCATCTTCGTCTTTCTCGGCAGGACTCTCCTTAAGGGCTTCCACCATCGCTGCATTGTAAAGGTGCTCAGGATCCTGGAGACAGAATGAAATTCCTCTGAAAGCTACATGACAGAAGGTCTCTGGCTGGAAGTCACGAGGGAAGGCACCACGGAATCACTCGCACCCAAGCTCACAGTTACCTTGAATTGCAAGCCTCGGAGGTTGTGAATCAGTTTTGCATAGCACCCTCTCTCCTCCATTAACTCCTTGTGGGTTCCTTTTTCACAGATCTCTCCATCCTCTAACAAAATGACTTCATCACAAGACTCCAAGAACTGCAGAGATAATCAAGCAACTTACAGTGAACTCTGGTAAGAGAAGAGAGTGCCATGCCCAACTCCCACCCAGCGCGTCCCAGGCCCATCTAGGGCCGGGGTTCCCAGCCTCACTGTTGACATGGACGGGCAGCTTGTTCTTTCTTGGGGGGGGGGTGTCCTGGGCATTGTAGGGGCTTTAGTAACCTCCCTGGCCTCTACCCACTAAGGGCCAGTAGCACCCTCCCCTTAGTTATGACAGGCAGAAGTGTCCAGACTGCCTAAATGCACCCACAGGTGTCACGAGCCCCAGGGGGCTGTCACAGAGCGTACACTGCATCTTCTCTTGCTGATGTGTCCGTGTGAGCTGCCCTCCTAAGAAACTGGGCCCAGGACTGTGGAATATGAACTTGAGAGAGTCACCGCAGTGGGATCCAGGCAGAGAGGAGCTCTAGCTGAGCCATGGCCTCCCTCCCTCATAACCTCCCATGCCCATGTTCGTCATCCTCAGTGAGGCCAGAGCAGAGTGGGGGGCCCTGGCCACGCTGCATCCCGGGAGTTACCCTAGCTTTATAGCTCTGTGGGATGATGGCACCCCCCCATTCTGCCCAAAGCAAGTCTGCTTTTCTAATTGAGTTCCTTTCATTTGCATATCACTCCGGAGAGTTCTGTTAAGTGGGGGTTTCCTTTCACTTTGGAAGAAGGACTTTCCCTGTAAGATGAACTGATGGGGGGGGGAAGCCCCTCGTGGGGGCAGAAGCCATGAGATTTCAGACGGGTCAGTTTAAAGAAGCCTTTGTGGGTCAGCCAGAGGCCTGCCCTATATGACAGGCCTGCCCTATATGACAGGCCTGCCCAGGGGCATCCCTTGACCCTCTCGATTAGAGACTTGAAAGAAATAGCCACACTGGGTGAGCGTCCACCTGACAGGGAGTGGGGCAAGAGGCCCAAAAGGCCCAAGGACAGAGGTCCAGACAGTTCAGACACCTCCAGCCCTTCAGCCTCCTCTGACCTGCCAGTTCCCCACCCACTCACCACTCTTACTTCCAGGAGAGATACTGCCCGAAAGACACTCTAGCTTCTAAAATTAATCTCTTACTCTGCATAGCACCTTGTAAACTTTTCAGAGCCCAACATCATCTCTTATCTCAATCTCCTCCAATCCAGTCAGGAAAACGGGCAGCTTTGCTTTTAGCCCACGCTCCAGATGGGGAGACTGAGGCACAAATGGGGGATGGTGACCATCACGCAGCCTTTGCAACCTGCATGGGGCTCCCATTCCAGCCCCGGGGTCCTGGTGAAGCTGCTCTGACTCACAGGCTGGCAGCTCTCTTCAGTGAGACTCTACAAGATTTGAGCAGTTTCCCCTTCCCCCCCAGATTCACAATCTCTGACCCTGGGTTAGATTTCAGTGGCTGGACTCGGGCCTCATTTCATTTGTTTCCTCAAGTAATAGAATAACAATTGCACTGCCCGACTCTCAGAAGTATCTGGATAGCCAATAGGCCCAAGAGGAAAAGCAGTGGAGATAAGTTCTGGAAAAGCCCCCGGGGGCTCTGGCTCCAGGGCTCAGAGCCCCTCCTCCCCCACAGTGGCCGCTGGACCGAGATGCCAGTGCCATCTGGCGGCTGCTTGAATTGTCAACAGACAAAAAGTGAGGTAAATGACCTTGGTGAAAGAATGTTCGAGCCTGAGAGCAGGTGAGTGAGGTTCAAACCCTGGACCAGGATGGAGGTTACAACCTCCCCACTAGGGCTCCTGGAAGCACACACTGGCCAGCTATCCACATGCCAGGACCTCCCTGGAGGACAGCCCTCCCTGTTGCAGGGACTAAGCTCCCCAGCTGGGCAAGAGCCTGTCCCCAGACCCCTCATGTGGTCCAGAAGAAATGCAGCCTCCTGCGGCACCTTGACCCAGCAGGAGAGCAACAGGAGCTTTGCCTGCACCAGCCCGGGACGGCCTGACAGCACGCGCGAAGCTCCAGTGCTGGGAGCTGGTCCTGGGAACATGGTTCTGTGGGCACAGGCAGAGGGCAGAGCCCCAGGGCCTGCCCCTAGCCTCAGCCCTGCCCTGCTGGAGGGAGGGTGGGTCTGACTCGCCCTCTCCCTTTGCTTCCCCTCTCCCTACCACAGTGCAGAGTCCAAGGAGCCGCCCTGTCCACGCCACAGACAGGGTCCATTGCTCCTGGACAGTCTAGCGTCTCATGGCAGAAAGGCCCTGGCTCCCCGGAGCCCTGAAGAAGGACAAGCAGTGGCCATGCCCCGCAGCAACAGGCAGTCCAAGATGTCCCTGTGCGCCCCGATCCTCCGGGAGGAGCCTCTGCCAGAGAGGCGGGTCTAGGCAGACATCGGCGTCAGTCGCATGACCACCAGGGCCCTGTAGTCCAGTCACCTGCAGCTGGTGGGTCACCAGGACGACCGTCTTCCCCCGCAGCGTCTTCTTAATGCACTCCTCAAAGACGTGCTTCCCCACGTGGGCGTCCACGGCCGACAGGGGGTCGTCCAGCAGGTAGAGCTCACGGTCAGAGTAGACGGCCCGGGCCAGGCTGATGCGCTGCCTCTGGCCCCCCGAGAGGTTGAGGCCCCGCTCCCCGATCTGCGGACAGGGGCAACGCTACTGGCCCTCCACCCTGGGCTTTCTGGAGCATCTCTAGCCCCTTCTCTAATGGTGCACGCCCGCCGCTCCAGGGGCCCCACCTTCAGGGAGCAGAGGATGCCCGTCCTGCAGATGGCCTGCTGGGCAATTAGGGAACGTTCTCTCTGGAGTTGCGTGAAGGGACCTGATCACAACAGCCCTGGTCCAGCATAATCCATGAGCAGGGGCCACCTCATGACCACTAACCCTGAAGGGAATTATTGAGTAGAAACCCCCCGGGGAACAGCCAAGGGAGGAGGGCGGGCACTGGCTGGAGCAGCTGGACGGCAGCTGGACAGCAGCACGCTACGGATTCGCTCCCAGCCCACTAAGCAACTCTGCTGTGTGAAGATGGAGCCATGTCTGCCTTAGGCACCACTACATGCCTCAGGCCTGCTCCAGGACACATATTTGCTGAACGGAAGAAAACCTAGGCTGCTCGGATGGTTTCGCTCATAGCAGGAGTATAATGGACCAGGCGAGAAAATAATAAGAATAATGAACAGTCATATACCGGAGACATTTTGTGGGGGTGGAGTGGGGGATGGGATCGAAAATGGGGCCGGGGGGAGTGCACGGGACTATGGTGATGGCACATGGGTGACTCAGTGATGGGAAACCCACAGGGATTACAATTGAGATGGAAAAAAAAAATGTACAAATGATGTAAAAATAAACTATTATATTATGAACAAAAGAAAGAAAAAGAAAAAAGAAAACCTAGGCTGCTGAGGCCAAAGTGAGGTCCCATTATGTTCAGCCAGGCATCAGGCTGAGCGCTGGGACAGGATACAGGAAACAAGGCAAGGTGAGCCCCTCTCTGCTGGGAGCTCATGTTATCTGGGGGACAGCGAGCGGTGAGCTCTGCCATACAAATGCCACCACGAGAGGCCAGTCCCCTCCTCAGTCCCGGCACAATGAGGCAAACGAAGGTGGCGCGTGCTGAACCCGGCCTCCTCCAGGGCCCTAAGTGCGCTGGTCCCTCCCAGGAGGAGGGTGCAGAGGGCACACAGCTGGGGAGGTGGGAACGGGCACAGGGACACCCCGTCACATGGCTTGGCAATCTCAGCCCAGGACTTTCAGTTTTCTGGACATCCACCCCAGAGGCAAACTTTGGAGGTGACCCTTAGACTCCCAGCTGGGCCAGTGAGGCAGAAGGAGCCCTCAGATTGCAGCACACCGGGTCGCTATCTGGGGGACAGGGCGTGTCCTCGCTGCAAGGAAACTTCCCTGGTGACCAGCAGAGTGAGGGTGGCCCCAGACTGGCCACACTGGGACCAGCACAGTGGGCCTGGTGCCACGCCCATGGTGGTGCCCCCCAAACAGTCCTAGGTGGAGAATTCTGAATGGTGGAGCCTGGCCTTGCCGGCATTCCTGGGGCCTTTCCTAGGGCGGCAGCTGGCACGGGGTGGGCCTCACGGGCCTGGGCCCCGCACACAGGGCAGGCGGCTCCTGGACACACGGTGGCGCCTCACCTCGGTCAGGTCTCCGTAGGGGAGGCTGCTCAGGTCCTCCTGGAGGGCACAGACGCGGACCGTCTGCTGATACCTGTGGGTGCAAGGTCAGAGCTGTCAGGACCCTGAGAAGGTGCCACCCCCACCCTAGGTGCCTCCAGAGGTGCTGCTGGTATCACTGGGCATGGAGATGAGGTGGCCACTTGCACTGTGGACACCCAAGGGCATTTCCCTGCCCCCTGCCCTCGCCCCAGCCCCCCCCTGCAGAGATGGCCCTTCCCTCCACAGGGCTCCTGCTTGAAATCTGTGTATGACACCCCTGAAAGGAAAACGGGCTGTCACTGCTGGCCTGGTGGAGGTTCCAGAGGGCAAGAGACCATGAATAGAAGAGCATGTGGTATGGCTGTGGGCGGTGGCCAGGGATCTGCTCCACGAGGCTTCTCTACCCACCAGTCACTTCTTTCCTTTGTTTGGTTTTGTCTTTTGACAGGTTGCAGAGAGTAGATTTTACCCCCGAGACACCTGGAGATGGCCAAGCAGGGATAGGACCAGAGTGCTGGGCCGCCCACCTCCGGCTCATGCCCCTCAGCACCGCCCACTGCCTGCCCCAGAGTCCAGTCTTCAGGAGTGACGGACAAGGCACTAGCCCACTCCCAGCAGCCAGGAAGCTGGACCAGCAGTGCTGTGTCCTGCAAAGGATAGCAAAGCCGGCCACTCATGACTCACGGGCAAAGCCGGCCACTCATGACTCACCGGGCAAAGCCGGCCACTCATGACTCACCGGGCATCATTCCAATGAGACACCTACTCCTTGGGGACTTCTGACACCAAGAGACCCAGGAAAACACGTAAATAGTGGGTAGGAGCCCAGCGATGTTCAGGCCCCGAGTTGAGAGAGCATCAACGCCTCCCACGGCACCCCAGTACCCCACCCAGCTGCCTCGGGAACTGATGCCTGTGCTGAACTCATGGGGCCCCCGGGGGGCAGTGCAGGCTGTGCCGCACTCACGAAGCAGCTGGGCCTCACCCCTGGGCCGCAGATTTCTGTCCCACTTGATGGGTGGCCTGCCTCCCAAGTCTGCATTAGGAACAGACTGGCTGGCTGACCGGTCGATTGACTGACTGCTCGATACATCATTAGCACCATCACCATCATCATCAGAGCCCTCTCCTGGGGCTCAGTGGACATCCTCCTAATACAGATGCACCTTCTCAGTAAAAGGCCCCAGCCTGGGAGTGAGGGGACAGATGTGGGCAGTTGTCCTCCAAGTGTTGCTGACCCCAGCAGCACGTAGGTCCCGGAACAGAAACTGGGAACCGTCCCGCAACTGGCCCATCTCACAACACTGGGGCCCGCATACTCGAGGGCTAAGATCAGAGGCTCTGGGGTCAGAACCACCTGGGTTTGAATCCAAAGTCCAAAGTCAGGTGACTTTGGACAACTGACTACACCTCCCTCTCCAGTCTGCAAAACTGAGCTAGTAACTCGCATTGGATTGCGGAATGAAGCAGACACGTGTGAACATGCCTGACACACACAGCTTTGCACTTGCCCATTGGTGTCTGTGTTACCAGTATCCTCGCCTCTGCCAGCCTCTGACTTGGAGACTCAGCTTGCTCAGCACACCTGCACCCCTGTGCCACCCCTCGCCCTACCTTAACTTTCTCCCATCCCTGCTTCCTGTACCCTGAGTATCACAGTGTCCAGCCTGGGAGAAGCCTCTCCTCGGATGCCACAGAGGAAGGAAGCCTGAGTCACCCCTCCGGGCCCAGCAAGGCACCCTTCCAAACTCCCACTCATGATCTCTTTGACCCAGAACGAGCGAGCACAGTGTCTGCCGGTTGGCACCATCCTCATTGGTACTTGCCGTCTGTGCATTTCCTCAGTCCCTCCAGACCTGAGCACCCTGAGGGCAAAAATCCTCCTGAGCCACTCTTGTTTTTCCCCTGTGGGCCCAGCATGTTGCAGCCACTTGGTAAACATTTGCCTCTGAACAACCTAGTCCATACAAACAGGAGTCCCTGCTGCTGCAGAAAAAGAAGTCGTTCAGGCGGGGCCAGAGGAGACAGAGTCCAAGGCAGGCCGGGAAGCGCTGAGTGAAGCAGGTCAGCTCCTGCCGAGGACTCCTGCACTGATCAGGCCTGCACTGATCAGGCCTGCCTGCCACACCTGAGCTTCCTGGCAACAGGATGGCACGGCCAGGGTAGAGGACAAGTACACAGACCTCTTTCCGGGAACCCACATGCTGGCTGAGGCTGGCCAGCAAGGACAGATTTGTGAGCTCAGACAGTAAGATGTAAAAGTCCAGGCCACTCTGGATTGCTGACTGCCTGATTCTTAACCCCCATTCTTGTGTCTCTACTCTGGCATCATGGAGTGTGGGGAGAGTCCAGAGTAGGCGGCTGCAAGGCAGCTCCAGCAGGAGCAAAAGTGTTGGCCGGCGGTCAAGACCGAAGCGCATGACTCGGCTGTGCTACGTCATAGCTTTGACCGTGGACAAATCCACTTCCCTGGGCTCCGAGGCCAGGGTCTCTCTATATGGGTGGTTATGGGACTCTGATGAATGCACCTGGCGGCACCCCAAAACTGACCAAGAAGACCTATTTTCCAGAATTTCAAAATAATGGCCCAGTGTGTGTCCACTATGACTTGAGTTCTGTTTATATGGTTGCTCTAGATCACTCTGAGGACACTACCAATAATCCTGCTAACTCTGATGTCTCTCAATGCCAAGGCTGGTTAGTTGCATACCTGGTGCTCACTATTTCAGGCAACATTTTGGTTACTTGGCCAAACGCCAAGCTGTTAGCTTCTTCTTCCATCAGACATTACAAGCCCCATGACAGAAGGGCAGGGCGCTCTAGGGATGGAGCTGGTTCCGCCCACCTCTCCTCAACTCAGTTAGGCAGCGAAAACCAGCACCCGTCTGCATCTGGTGATCGTTTAATCAGAACTCGTGAAAGAAACCCACTTAGCAATCACTACAATGGAGTCAGCCTTGGTAGTAGAATGTGCCCAAAACTAAAGCTTCATGTTTTCCAAGCTACTCTTACCTTTGGTGGTCATACTTTTCTCCAAATAAGATGTTTTCTCTAACATTTCCGTGAAAGATCCAGGCTTGCTGGGAGACATAGGCCAGAGTCCCGTTGACAGCCACGGTGCCTTGCTGTAACTGCATCTGGGCGACACGCGAGGACACCTTGAGAGCCAAGACTCCACAACTCGGGGCCTCGACACCCACTCTCCATCAGCATTCATCACGAAGGTGTAAGACAGGATGTCCGGTCCACACGCTGCAGAGCCCAATCACACAGCTCCAGGCTCTCAAATTCCCACATCCGGGGGAGAGAGAGAGGCAGGATAACATGGACGAGGCAGGGGTGAGCCTGCTGCCGTGGACAGCACAGGGTGCTGCCAGCATGCGTTGGCACTTATGTGCATCTAGAGCAAGACACCCTCTTCGGAAGGGCACCCTCACAAATCTCCCTTTCCCTCCAGGTCCTCTAGGTCCCAGCCCCCTGCCAAACCCCTGGGACACGGCCACATGGCTGCAGGTGGCCCCGTCTGTCTGATACTGCAGCCGCCTGGCTTGGTCACGTATCTGGTACCACACAAGGGTGCAGGTGGGTGCAGCAACACTTCCGATATTTCAAAAGGAGCAGAAGTTCCATTCTACTTGGAAGTTTTGGGCTTTTAAAGCACTGAAAAACAATCTAAGAAACATGCGTGGGTTCTAGTCTGTGACCCTGAAAATATAAATCCACTGAAAATGACCCCTATGTGGTGGGCAGCCCACAGAGGCGGTCAAGGCTGGCACTGGTGCCAGGTACAGATGCAGCCCCAAGCTCACCGCTGCAGGACAGTCCTGCTCAGCAGTCCCCAGTGTGTGGGGGACAGGCCCAGTCCTGCTCAGCAGTCCCAGTGTGTAGGGGACAGGCCAGGAGGAAGGCCGGGGGGGTGAAGGGTTGAAGCCATTTCACTACAGCAGTGGTGCAAGAGACACAGGAACTGAGACTTGGAGAAGAGACACCGCCAATGGCCAGTAATAATGTCATCTAGAATGGCCATATTCCACGCCACTTGCTGAGTCAAGTATGCAGAAGGTGCTGACCACTATGAACGGCACCAGGAATCATCCCAGACCAACTAGTCCATGTGTCATCTTATCTAATCCTCGCCTTACTCTCCAAAGCTTCACTTTACAGAGAGGAAACTGAGGCTCAGAGAGGTCAATTGTTTGTCCAAGGGCAAACAGCAAGCACGGCTGAGACAGGTGTGAACCCACAGGCTCTAGAGGCCGCTGACTAGGTGGAGGCCCAGACGGATGTTCCCCTGCATCCCAGAACCACCGTGGGATCTGAGCCCACTATCATGTGGAAGAGAACCTTCATCTTTCATGAGCTGTTTCGGAGGGCAGATGTTCAAAGCAGGCAGACTTCATTGCGACATATATCAAAATTTTCTCCAAATGGATCTGGCTTAGAACGATGAATTCTCCATCACTAAAGGGGGCTGAACACAAGTTGGCTCATCTCCGATCAGATGTCGTCAGGGAGGGTCATTTCCAGATGGAGAATTGGGCTGGGCCACCTGTCACCCACCTGTCCGCTCCCAGCAGAACACAGAAGCACACATGGAACCCCAGGGAATGGGGGCCCCAGGAGCTCACCTGACTCAACCCCCCACTTCTGCCCTCGGCAGGGAAGTAGTTTGTCATTCTTTCTACAGTTGAGTCAGGGCAAGAAGTCAGTCACGTTGGAGCCCAAAAGACACAGCCCCAATCCACCCCCCAGCCCCCTGCCTGCCCCCACTCCTCTGGAGCAAAGCAAGGAAGACATCAACCTTTTTTTTTTTTTTTCACGAGAACTTTCCATCATCTGTGATGACAAAGCAGGGCAAGCTGGAGGCCCATGAATACATAAGTGGCTGGGCCAGGCCCATGAATACATAAGTGGCTGGGCCAGCCACAATTAGCAGACAAGGGCCCCTTTGCTCCTCTCCTCCCAGCATGAGGTTTGAAGAGAAGGTGGGCACACTGCTGCTTTACTTCAGGCTTTCATTCAGCCTCTGGCTCATCAAGAGAGGCTTCATGGGGGGCTGCCCTGGGCAGACACCAGGGATGCAGATGACAAGGGGAAAACCGCTAAGGTCGTGGTGGCCGCAGGCTCCCGCCCAGCCACGCTGCCTTGCTGGCCTTTGCGTCACAGTGGGAAGCCATGGATTTAGTGGCCCACCTCTCCCTTTGACTAAGACGGAGCTCGAGGCAAGAAAGCAGCCACCACTTAGCATGGGAAGCTCAGCCCTTGCAGAGGAGCACGGGAAGGCCAAGCACTCAGCCCACAAATCACTCACTCTGTGCACAGTGCCCAGGCGGCCAGGCCCTCGGCTGGGTGCACTGCTCCTGTGGGTGCAGAACCCAGCAGTCGGGGAACCGCTCTGGGGTCACAAGAGTGTCCTGCCACACAGCACCCACCACAGCTTACCTGTCCCAGGAGAGCAGCGATGAGGGAGCTCTTTCCACTCCCCACATTCCCGCATATTCCCAACACCTTCCCCTGCCAGGGAAACAGAGAAGAGTCACTCTCCCAGTTCTTAGAGGCCTTGGGCCAAATGTTCCTCCCCTGACTGTGCTGGCCAGGCCAGGGAGGTCAGAGGTCACTGCTGGCTGAGGCAGTGGCAGCTGTAGTCTCACACCCTAACCCAGACACGCTGCCTGGGGGGAGGCGCCTGAGCCTTTCAAGTCTCCTTGCACCCCACAGCAGAGTGCCCAGACAGCCTCTAGGAATCTAGTACTAGTGTTGGTCTGAAGAAGCCTGGAATACACAGGCCTGGGGGCTGTCCCGGGCCCAGATTCCAAGAGAGCAAATAATGTTGGTTAAAAGCTGGACAAAGCAGGCCCTCCCTGGTGGCGCAGCAGGTTAAAGCGCAGCACTAAGAAGCTAGAGCCACTTCAGCATGAGTTCGATCCCCACCTGCCCTGGAGGTGACCACATGGTGTGGCAGACCTCTCCTGACCCGCCCGCTGCTCCCCTCAGCAGTGTACTTCGTCAATCTGCCTGTTCTGCTCCCTACTCTGTCTCTGGTGAAGCCTCTCACTGCCCCTGTACCTCTGGCCTGTACCCCAGTTCTGTATGAAAAAAAAAAAAAAAGTGGGACAAAGCAGGGGAACAAGGATGTCTTTCAAGTACAAAGAGCTGGTACTTTTCAAAAGTCTTTTCTAAGGAACCTCCCACCACCACAACACAATCTGAAGTTATCAAAAAGTGACGCTATTCCACGATGTTGGATTCGCTCATCATTCCCTGACGTTGGCAGGTTCTGCAACCAAAAATCTGGTAGAGCTGCCACATGCCAGGCACCGCGCAACAGTCACAAGCATGACGGGCAGGACCCTGGGTCTGCCCTTGAAAGCCCACGTGTCCTCTGGGGATGGACCGTGCACAGAAGTCAGGTAAAGCTGGCACATGGCAGGTGAAGGCCAAGGTAACAGACGGAGAGCAGAGGGAGAGGGAACACCTCCTGGAAACAGAGACGTCGGGGCCTGAGGCCTCCAGGAACGGGCCCTGAATCAGGGATCTGCATCAAAGCGCCCTGCCTGAGAGGCAGAAGGCGCCACCCAGGAAAGGCAGAGGACTCCAGAAGGGAGGTGGCCCACTGAGCTTGTGCTCTTGGCTCAGTCTCATGACAGGCAAATGGAGCTCGATCCTACTGGGCAACTGAGGGTATTTTTATCCGCCCCCCCCCCCCCGCAATGGTGGACGGAGCCAGGGAGTAACACCCAGCAGGCAGTGCGTGGGAGTTGCTGCGTCACCTTGTTTTCATGGGGGGTGAAGGGTGGGGCAGACCCACGGCAGATGCAGACCTGAAGCAGGAAAGTGGGGACACATAGGGGTCCCTGACGTGTCTGCAATAGGGGATGCCCAAGCAAGACCTGGGGGAGGTGGGGACCGAGCCACATAGACCATGCAAGGCTCTGGGGAAAAGTATTACCGAGACAATTGTGATCCTGCCTTTTGAAGCCCACACTGTCACTTGAAGCCACAGTGGGTAAGTGGAGCTGATCCTTACCAATTCCCCAAAAAGGACTTCACGTGACTGAGGCATGCAGGGGGCTTTAGAGTAAAGAGACACAGGCATGGACCCAGCAGCTCCTAGGCACTTGGCTGTCCTTGGAGACCTAGCCAATAACCAGCCAGGACTGAGTCTTTCAGCTTTATCTTTATCCAGCAGGGCATCCACAGGGCCTGTAATTCCTGGATTTCTGATCATTCATTTGATCATTTCAAAAAAAAGTATTGGAAAACTATGCTGTGCTGGGCACAGGGCTCAGTGTAATAGCAAACTGTACACAAGACAGATATACACCCTGGCCTCGAGGAGGCTATAGTCTAGTGGAATCAAGGAACGAGCTTGGAAAACCCTGATGTTCTGGATTTAGGCCATGAAAAGACAGCACCTAAGCTGGACGGCTGCTAGAGGGAAAGGCCACAACAACTAACGTCAGGAGTCTCATTATGAGCTCCCGTGCAGGTGCAGCGCCTCTTCTGCCTCACCCCCCTTGTCAAGCAAGTACTGTTATTAAAACATCTAGCAGACATGGTAAGAATGCAAACTGGTCCAACCACTATGGAAAGCTGTTTGGAGGTTTCTCAAACTGCTAAACATGGAGCTTCCATAAGACCCACCAATCCCACTCTTAGGTATCTACCCAAAGGACACAAAAATATCAATTCCAAAGGGCACCTACACCCCCATGTTTATTGCTGTTTTATTTATAATAGGAAAGATGTGGAATCAACCCAAATGCCCAAAAGTAGATGACTGGTAAGATGTGGTACATATACAAAATGGAATATTACTCAGCAATCAAAAAGATAAACTCATGCCTTTTGTAGCAACATGGGTGGAGCTGGAAGGGATCGTGCTTAGTGAAATAAGCCAGGAAGAAAAAGAAAAATACTGGATGGTTTCACTCATGGCAGGAGTACAAGGGACCAGGGAGAAAAAAACAAAACAATTGTAATGAAGTAAAAATAAAAACGAAAAACAATGAACAACTATAAACTGGAGACATTCTACAGGGGTAGCGAGGGTAATGGGATCAAAACTGGGGTGGGAAGAGCACACAGGACCATGGTGATGGCACTGGGTAAAGTGGTGGTGGGAAGTCCACAGGGATCACAACCGAGATGAAAAAATGAACAAAATGAAGAATGATATAAAATAAATAAATAAAATATCTAGCAGACAGAGACAGGAGCCTCAACTGGTTTGACAAGCCACTCAAGGTCAAACAGTAGGTACGTGACTGGGACCGAAGTTCATCCCACCAGACTCCAGAGCACACCTTTGAGCCACAATGCTGCCTTCCACTTAGTTCACTGACCGTGTCCTTGACATCCAAGTCAGGGAGCTACCAGTGTACTGACAGGAGGGAGCCAACGGCGAGCTAAAGCGCTTCTTTAGTCACCAGAGCAGCTCCCTGAAGCTCCTGGAGCAGCCAGGCTGCTCTGAGCCAGCCGGTGTGCCCAGTACAGGCAGCGCCAGACTGCTAAGAAAACAGCGGGCATCACAACCAGCGGGGCCTCAGCAAACAGAGCTCAAAGCCACGCAACCGACTGCATGGCACTCCCGATGACTACATAGCAGGTAGCCTTGGGGCACTGCTTCACAGCAACGGCTTAGCTCAGCGTGGCATAATAAGTACGTCTGTCCTTCCCTGATGCTCACACAGGGAAAGGGTGAGTCCACAAAATGCAAAATTAAAATATGAGCACAAGATTACTGCTGAGTCCTCGTGCAGCAAATTAACACTGCCGCCCTCGCAGCTTGCCACCGAGCTCTGGTGCAAGGAAACCACGGGCGTTCCCCAAGCAAAGCCTCTTCTGCAGACTCCAGCCCGAGACCTGAGCTGTCAGCACACACCGGGCGGCTTTCTTTGGCCTGTCCTTGGTCAGCTCGTCCTTCTTGCTTCTGCCCAAGCAGTGCTGTATGGTGGTTAAAAGCACACCTGGGGGGTGCCTTGAGTGAAGCCCTCCTCTGCTGCTGGTGAGCAGCCTGCCCGTGGGGCCTCCCTAAAGGAGGCCCAGCTATGTACCTACCTTGGAGGGTCACTGGGGTAGTTCAAGAGTTAGTGATGTGCCTGCTCATAGCAATCAGTTACCATTCTGGACCAGAGCACTCCAGTGGGACACTAACGAGCCCGAAAAGTTTCACGAGAACTAAGCATTTTGAACCAGACGGGGATTATCTGTCCAACGTTATGGCTGGCCCCAACTCCTTTGGCACTTGCAGGTCAGTACGAGCACAGCCACCACCTTATAAGCTCAAAGAGAATGTCTCTACTGCTTTTGTACAGTTGTTAAATTAGGAGACGAAAACCACTTGGGCAGAAGCCCACCACCATGTCCACTGGTGAAACAGTGGCTTCAGGCCATGAGAAGGCCAGAGCCACGCAATACCAGGGGGGAGGAAGAGGCCACGTTACTGGGACACATGCCCACCTTTCTCACCACAAAGTTTATATTGTGCAGAGCCGGCTTGGGGCTGCTTCTTTGTTCCTTGGGGCCAGCGATGTCCTGGGCTGATGAACTCATACTATACACCTCCGGCCTCTGTCTCCAGAGAAAATGTTTTTTGTGGCTCTGCACATTTTTTGGGTCACTTTTCTTGCTGGCTTCTTGCTCCCATGTCAAGGTGGCATTTGCTAAAAGCAAGACAGTGTCTGGGTCTTCTGGTTGGGTGATGTAAGATGGGGAACTTTTATCTATGAGAATTTTCTAAGATTAAAAAGACAAAATTAACTTGACAGACATCATCCATTTGCAAGAATCACCCCGATACACCTGCCATTGGCCCCACTCATAGCTGTAGTAAGTCTACCTAAGACATGCTGGAAAGAGGTTCTGATGCTATTCCCCCAGGACAAACTGCTGCAGAAATAGCCCACGAGCTCACATGATCTAGGACAGATGTCTCTTTACCCGCAAGGCCCATGTGGGTCACCCACATTGGAGAATGCTGACCCCAGCTACATCTCCCATCCTGCCCAAAATAGCCAGCTTTCACCCATCTCTCAGGGTATGTTTGGCATTTGTGCTTATGAAAGCAAGGTCACCAAGGGTCCCAGAACCCCACTCAGCTCATTGCAACAAAATGCTTGGCTCCCTGTGCTAAAATCTGGTGCAAACAACATAAATGCAAATATAAACTAGCAAGGTTTCTGTCCTTGAGAACATCACAGTCTGGGGAGAAATGGGGACACATACAGATCATCTTTGTAAAAGGTGACGGGGTCAAGAACTTTAAGGGACACTTGAGTCCCCATCCTGCAAATCCCTGTCACTGACGTCTGAGCTGGATCTGTGCTGTCCCAGCACCAGACAAGGCTGGGAGGAGCAGCTGAAGGTTTCTGGCAGAGAGCCCAGAGATGCAAGCAGAAGGGTCAGCTGCGGGGGGGAATGGAAAAGACAACCCAGAATGACGGAGGTCAACGTTTGTCTTTCTCCTGACCTTTTGCTCAGTTCCCCATTATTCCAACTATAAGGAAACTTGCAAATTGTCCACAGATCTGAGGTACACATCAAGGGAGGAGGTAGGAGGGCCAGGTGTGTAGTTTACACACCCTGTATTTGGTGTGTAAACTACAGGGACCACAGCTGGGAGGAGAAACCAAATAGTGTACAGAAATGAGCAACAACGTAAGAAAATTAAAAAAAAAAAAAGATCAGAGTTCAAAGTAAAACATGAAGTTGGAAGGGTCAGACGTGGTCCTGGAGGGAATATGGATATTCAAGGATTTCAAACAGGTGAATATGAGTATTCAGACCAATGTACTGATAGCTAAGAGTTCAGAGCCATTTGGGTTTGCGGAGGACATGGGAAAGGACGAGTGGCTCATAGTCCCTGGGCAGCTGAGCTGAGAATTGGTGAGGCCCTGAATGAAGGTTTTGGCCACAGGGCAAGGAGTCAAGAAATAGCATCACCCCTCTAGTCTGACATCTGATCTTAAATATATGCAAGTAATGTGTTGCTGTCGGTTCTCCATTCTGTTCAATCCAGTCTGGTCGAAGGTGCCTCCATAAATTGAGGGAACACAGTAATCAAGAGGTGCATTCAACAGGGCTCCTGACGTGGATGGCGAGGGAGTGGGGGAATACAGGCTCCTTGGACGCTTACAGTAACGTCCATATTTCTGGCTTGGTTGCATAATATCATCACTCGACTCACAGATGCCTGAACATGGTGTCCTGTTGAGTGACACCCTCTTCCCTTTCCTTCCACAGCCTGAGCTCCACAACCACCTGACCCTCTTGTATCTGTGCCATCGGAGCCATTGCTGAGGTACCTGGTCCTATTCTAGATTGGAGGTTCTAGAATAGCTGTACTCCCTACAGTCTTGTATATAGGAACTACACAGTGAATCTTCGATGAGTGAATAAATGAAAAAATGAGCACAACACTCCATCACCACACATCCTGCAGGAGACAAAGCAGGCACAAAATTGGGGGATAATGGAATGCAAACCCAAATTCTTTCCTGGAAGGACACAAGATTTGTGACTGAATAGAGGGTGCCATTATATCCCCACATGGAGATTCCACCTCATTTTTACTGAGAGAATAGAGCACCCTCCTCCAGATCCATTTACTGAGCCAACTAAGGGGAGTACGATCTCCCAGTGTCCAGAAAACCAGTGGCACAGTCTTCAGTGGGATGGCATAGCTTCCCCAAATCCAAGAACTTTCCACCCCAAAAATGAGCTCTATCTTTCCTACTCACCCAGTGGTAGTTATACCTTCATTCTCCTTAGAGAGACACTGGCTTCGGCCGCCGCTTTGACCGAGAAAGGCAGGATTGCGATGGAAAACTTCATGACATTAAACATGGCGATCACACTAAATACCTGATGAACAGAAGGAGGCATAAGGCTTAGGATAACATGCCGCCTTTGTGAACCTCTGTATCCAGGGCAGTGGACTTGGTGAGATGAGAAATCGTGACCTCGCTGGGTGAGATTCTCAGAGAGATCATGTTTTTCATTTCAGGGAATCATGGCATGGCAAATTAGGGAGAGAAATACATCACCTGTCTTGCTTTTGGGTTTTCATCAAAGTGGTAGGAAACATACACTTTTCTCTCAATCCAGAGAGAAGGTGGGGAAGGCTTCCAGCTGAAGCCTTTGGAAATCTCCGTCCAGACCACATTCTAGAACACCCACCCAAAACCTTGCACAGATTTTCAAAAATCATTGCTTCTCTCATGGCTACAGCAGCCATACAACCCTTCAGAAGCAGAACCCTCTTCTTCATATCGACCAGTCACAGGGCACAGGCAGACACTCCCGGCCAGCACCCTTTTAGGCCAGGATGGCTGTGGGCTCCTGAGAGTGACCGCTGGCTCTCACACCCAGGGAGTCAGAACACTCGCCAGGGAAGACTTGGGGCCTTTGTCCAGCTGTCCTTCCGAAAAGCCCCTCCTGTTTTCACCAGGTCCGTCCTCACCAGTCCTGCCTGGCAGGTGCCCACACCACGTAGCCTTGTTGAAAACAAGTTCCCTCATGCCACTCGTGCCCCAGAGCTGTGTGCACTTATCACACAGATTCCATCCATCATCTGTCCAACTGTAATCAGTGGCCTCTCCTCACCGACCCAGTAGATTGTAACACAACTTCCGCTGACAACCCGGAGGGTTCCATGGACGGGTCCCAGACTTCGATGACTCCAAGACAGTTCATTAAAAGGAGGAACAGGCATGCTCCCATCACATGTGAATAAATACAAACCCCTCCCCCAGGATCACAGCTCCCCCTGCCCAAAGCAGGCTCCGGAAAACCAGGTTGTGGGTGACAAAGTTCATGGGCCATCTGACAGGTGACAGGGTGGGGGTCTGACCTCAATCAGGGCTGTGGCCCTAACAGAAGAGGCCACCTACCGCAAGGGAATCTGACTTAATAAACAATTCTTGCTTTCTGGGGATCTGTTCTCAGCCTAGATTTCTTCTACAGTATCATTTTAGAAAGTGCTAACATATGGCTGCAAATTAACCTACATGGTGTGTTGGCTGGCAGAAAAAAATGAATGATGTTTGGGGTGACAATGATGCAGTTGCAACCACTTGGGCTTCAGTGCACTATGCCAATCACTAGCTACAGGTTCCTGACTACTGGAGGCGGAAGAGCATGTGAGAGGAAACCGAGGACCTGAGAAAATGAAAGTCTCTCGCAAAGAGGACAGTTCAGAGCCCCACAAGAGATCCCAGGCAAGAACTGCCTGACTTCTCAAACCTTCCCCACATTCTCCTCAAGAATCTTGATTTGGGGCCATTCCAGGTGGCACCACTGGTTGAGGCACAGCACTACGAGGCTGTCACAGCCATGGCAGCACCAGTTCGATCCCCCTTCCAGGGAGGTGACCCACATGGCACAGCAGACCTCGCCTTTCTTTCCCACTGCTCCCTCAGCAGTATGTTTCAGTACATCTGTCTGTTCTGTTCCCTGCTCTGTCTGGTGAGTCCTCTCATCCACTGCACCTCTGGCCTGTACCCCATTTTTTGTAACTCTTAAAAAAGATTTTAAATCTTTTTTTTTAAATCCTTGATTTTAGTGCCATTTTTCCCCTAGCATAATCCCACTGGCTTATTTCTCTTCTGCTCTCTCCTCCATGTCCTTGCCCTTTAGACATTTAGTTTAATGTCCTAGCTCTCTGCTTCTTTATGGAAGCCGGGGAGAACTGGCTCCCCCACCCCACCCACCTTTCTCAGTGAGTCTTTCTTAGTCTTTAATTCGCACAGGCCCCTTGCAAAAAACTTCAGCAATCACATTCACCCCTTTTCTTCTGAGGCTTTCAACCCAAACTCACGCGGTCAAAGTGAGAAGTGAGCTAACAAGAACCTCAGATACTTCAGTCAGCGCTTACTCCACACCGGGTATTGTCCTCTGCGTGGTACAGAAAAGGCCCGTCCAGTCCTCACGCCGGAGGACCTGCTGTCACCCCCATGTACAGAGCCATGGCAGGAGACAGTCACAAGCCTTGGCTAGAAGGTAGCGGGGTGGATTTGAACTCGGAGCCCAGCATCCACGCGTGAGCCTGTGCCCGCCCTTGCCCCACCCAGGGAGCATGCGCAGACGCTCCCGCAGCCCCCACCCGGACTGGAGAAGGATGAGGGTGCTACCCTGGCTCCTGTCCGCCCAGGCGAGTACGCGTGTGTTTGTGATAGTCAAGGTCGAGTTCTAGCACAGCCAGGGCCACGTGAGGGGGCGTTCGGCCAGCGAAGATGTGGCAGAGCTTCCCACCAGGTGCCTGCCAGAGGTGGGGTGCATAAACCTAAGTCAGGAGAATGGTGCTTACCACCGGGGCGGTGAGTTTGTGTCTCAGGAGAATGTGGCAGGAGAAGGTCAACACGATGGCTATGGTGGAGGCAATGGGCGCCAGGGCCGAATTTCCGCTTTGGACATACCCAGCTTTCTCCAGTAATTTCCTTTCCCTCTTCCTTATGTCTGCAAAATGGAAAACCAGCCACATTTGGAAAACCAGACCTTACTTGGCATGTTAAGCACCAGCATTAAAGAAATACGATCCCTGCTTCATCCTCAGCAAAGAGTACGGTGGAGTCAGTCCAAGCCCACAGCCCTGTAGCCCAAAGGGACCAGAGAGCCGGGCACACACCCCTAGGGCCCAGCCTTTTGCTCCTTCACTGCCGAGTGTCAAGGTCCCTGCCAGTCCCCGTGCACTGTGTCTCAGGACTAACCCAGAAGCTGACAGGGCCCAGACGAGAGTCGCAGATGAAGGGAGTGGGCAGAGAGTAAGACCAGAGGACGGGTTGTGGGGTGCAGATTGGGGTGCATGTGCTCAAAGGAAGGACCCTGACCTCTCCATGCAGGCAGCTTAGGCCACCAGAAGTCAACTCTCTTGAAGTCTGAGATCTGGACTTTTTCCAGACATCTGCTTTTAAACTGGTCAAAGTTTTTTAATGAAGTAAGGTCGAGGAAACTCCATCTGTTGGCCCAGAGACCCCCGGGAAGGCTACAGAGCCACAGGCAGGCCTCCCTGTCCTCAGCCAGGTGAGGCCAAGAACTCTGCCGCTGCTCCCGACTTAATCAAAGCCTCCTTCCCAGTGGTTAAAGTCCTCAACCCCAACCCCTGCCCACCACCCCCGGGGTGCTCACTCTGTGCCCAGGGCTCTGAGACCCACGCAGTCTCCTCACTGGGGGCTCCCACCGCCGAGGACAAGGGCAAGTCACTCTGTCCTTCTGATGGGAGAGGCAAGTCTTGGCAGGTTTAGTAACTTGCCGTTCAGATGCTGGGCGGTCTGCTCGCTGCACGACCTTCATCTCTAAATCACCCTACTACCTCCTTTCCCCCCAAGCTCACTCTCTCCCCTCACTTCTAGGCCTGTGCTCCTGCCCAAGGGGTTTGCATGGCCCTCTGAGTCCAACCCTGCTATTCCTCAAGGCCACCTCTGTCACGCGACTTTCCTGCTCTCTCCAGCTCCTGCCGCTTACCCCATGGGGCTTCCTGGTTTCGTCTGTGGCACTTTCCACTCATGATCGTGCATGAGCAGATGTTCCCTACATGCCAGGAGCTGTGTTTGGGCCAAGGGAACATAGGAAAAAACAGGGAAAATAGGGCTTCTGGGTGTAATTCCAGGTGGTATTTGTGGAGGCCTCTGCTTGTAACAGGTTCCCCTGGGGGAAGTTCCAGGTTCCCTGCCCCACCCAGAAGTAGGGTGGAGCTGAGAAGAGGGAGAAAAAAAAAAGAAGAGAGAAGAATCTGAAGAAGGAAGCAGGACGGAGAGCTAGGAGATCTGATGGAGCAGCGAGCATGGGAGGAAGACACCGGGCTTGTTTCCTGGCCCTGGACTGGCTAAGGCAGATGTGGGTGAGATACCCGTGGGTTGGTTGACTGGCAGCGATGATCTTGATTTTGATGTTGCTCTTTTACTTCCAGACTTGTCTGGCCATTCCTGACCCTTTTCTATGGGTCCCAGCCAGAGGGTACTTTAAACTGTGGCAGGCTTTCAGACCTTGCTTTGGGCCAATCCCTTTTGGGTGGACTTTTGCCCACAAGGGGATGGGTCACTTCAGGTGTTTGATTTAGACATTATATCCTTTGTCTTCCGTGTTGTATACTCACTGTATTAACGTTCCTTTTCATTAAGGTCTTATGTGTTTTGTCTTGATGCAGCAGATGGCAGAACCTAATTGGAGCAGGCAGCTTTGGGGGTTCACTGGTGCCCCTCTCTCCCTGCCCTGTAACATGCTCACCAATGAGCAATTCTCACACCAGCAAGGCGTCTGAGACGTGAACACACTCTGACTCTGTCTCCCCAGAGGTAACCTCAGATTCCGCAGGCGAAGGTCTCCCAATCCACCCACCACTTCAGACTCCCGTCACAAGGCCAGGCCATTATCAGTGCTCTAACAGGCTCTAGGTAAAGAATTCCCAGGACCCCTTCCTGAGGTTTAATTCACTAGAGCGGCTCACAGAACTCAGTGAGAACTCACAGAACTTAGTGAGAAACCCAGTTACTCACCAAATCGCCAATTTATTAGAGGATGCAATTCAGGGACAGCTTGGTGGGAGAGATGCACAGGGAAAGTTAAGGGGAAGGGCTCAAGGTTTCATTCTCCTGGGGTGCCATTCTCTCAGCACCTGCATGTGATCACCAGTGCAGAAGTTCCCCCAACCACCTCTTCCTGGGAGAGGAAGTTCTGGGATGGACTAGAAGCTCCAGATGCCTATACAAGGTCTTTTCTCCTGGTGCTTCCAAAAGCCACTTTATTCACATAACAAAAGGCACCTTGATCACGCTCAACACTTAGGAAATTCCAGTAGTTTGGGGAGCAATAAACCACAAAGCAGGGATAAAATCCAACTCTATATGAGAAGTATATTTGGTCAAAACATCATAATAGTGCACAGAGTGTTAACTCTTCCAGTAAGAGAAATGGACACTAAAGAAATAAACAAATAAGAGAATTATAAATGGTAGTGGGTGACACATAAAGGGAGAAATGAATAGGGCGAAGAAGTTAAGAGAAATTGATGGGGTGTTGACTTGCTTAGGACTATGGGAGAGAAGGTCTCTTCGTGTCAGTGCCATTAAGAGGAGTCCCAAGGTCAAGACATGAATATCTAACAAGAGTGTTCCAGGCAGAGGGAAGGTCCTGAGTGTGTATGTTCTAGAAATAGATGGAGTGTTCATTTGGCTCAAGTAGAGTTATCAGGGGATGGAGTAAAATCTGATGAGGTCAGTGAGGGTAGCCGGACCAGATTACGCTGGACCTAAAGGCCACATGAAGGAACGTGGGTGTCATTAAAAAGTCCTAAATTTGAATGATCTATGTTTGATAAGAAAATACTAAAGTTTTTTCAACAGCAGAGAGACAAGACCTAATTGACATTTTTAAAAGGTCACGCCAGCTGCTATGTGCATAATGGATTTTAGGGAAGGAAGAACAGTAGGGATTGTGGGGGAGGGTTGCATTTAAGAGTTCTGTTATAGTCCAGAAGGGAGAGGATAATGGGATGGGATGGGGTCTGTGGAAAGAAGAGAAACAGACAGGATCCAGAGATACTTTGGAGGAAGACTCAGAGCTATTGAGCCTGGTGTGCACATCCTCCCTTAATTAAAAACAGAAATCGGGGCCCTCCCTGGTAGCACAACGGGTTAGGATGCAGCAAAGCAAGGTAACCACAGCCCCTTCAGTATGAATTTGATCCCCAGCCCTGGAGGTGACCTCCATGACACAGCAGACCTCTTCTGTTTTGCCCACTGCTCCCCTCAGCAGTGTACTTCATTAATCTGCCTGTTCTGCTCCCCACTGTCTCCGGTAAGTCCTTACACTGTCCCTGCACTTCTGGCCTGTACCCCAGTTCTGTGCATAAATAAATAAATCTTTAAAAAAAAAAAAAGCAAAAATCATTTTCCTGATCACATTGTATTTTCCAAGGTCATGAATATAATAGAAACATGGTGAATATTTATTGAGTTAAACTAAATTAAGCCTAGTAGAATCAAGTCAGACAAATGGTGAGTTCAATGTATGAGGAAGGACCCCATACTGATAGAAGGTTCCAGAAGGCTACCAATGACGCAAACTGAAGCACTTCTTTTGGCAAGCCTGGATGCAGGTATTCTGTAGTCGCGCCCTAAACACACAGATATACAGCGTCAGGCATAATTACACGCTGCTCTAAAAGTGTAATTGTAGATCTAGAGAGTCGATTGTAACAGTAGTTCAGATCATTAACTGGCCAACCACCTGAGTCTATGTCAGCAATTATGTAAATGTTCCTACAATTATATTTGCATTTATATTTGATTGAAATAGTTCCAATATCATCTTTTTGAAAAAAAAAATTCTATATGATCCTTATACCTGCCCAAAGAACGTCAAACCATTCATTCGCTAGGCTGCTGCAGGTGAGGGAGAGACGTGTGGGGTGGGAATGTACATGTCGATATCTTAAGTCAAGAAAATAGCGGAAGCTAGCTCTTCTGCTCTTGTTTTAGTGCAGTATTTTTGCAGACGGCGAGTATCAGTGCCAGCATTCATTTACCCCAGTAAAAGCTAAACAATATGTTACTCACCTGCTCACCTGCTGAGCCGTCAGCTTCACCAGAACAAATGCCTGGGTCTATTATAAAATCTCAGTAATCCTTTTGATTGAAAAGGCTGCAGAGCAGCTCAGAGGTTTCCCTCTGCCCTCTTCTGAAATTCCTGGCCCCAGGAACCTTAAGAACCCCTGAGAAGAACCCAGTCTACAGGGTAAGAGGTTCTGTAGCCACTGCTCTTCCTACCTTGAATGGTGTTGGTGAAAGATTTCTCCCAGGCGTACATTTTAATCAGCTTGATGCAGGTCAGAAACTCATTCATTGTCTGAACTCGCTTGTCGGTCACTGAAATAGCTGATCGTCGGAAAGCTGAATTGAGCTTAGCCATAAACATCTGAAATTAAGTTACAGACACTGTGTTCAGCGAGAACTGCTAAGTGGCCATTGTCCAGCAAACCCGAGATTGGAGTTTAAGTACCAGGGAAACTTCTAAGGGAAGTGGACCTGAGATTCTCAGCTGTGCCCCTCTTTTGAGCTTCAGCAGCTGATGTGGCTGGGCGATCCTCTGGAGGGGTCATATAGGTGATGGGCAAGGGGCGTACTGGAGCCTCTGACCAGCTGAGGAGTGTTGCCTCAGCCTCCAGGAAGGCTTTCACCATCCAATTTGTAAAATACTACAGTGTGTCAACAAAAGAAATCACATCTATAGGTACAAAGTGGGGGGCACCAGCTGCAAGTCAAAGTCCTAGAGATAAAGCCTTTATCCAGCTCAGAGAGAGAGGGAAGCAGAAAAGTCATAACCGCAAATACCCGCCATTACCTGGATGGGGATGAATAGGATATACACAGATATCCCGATGAGCGCTGTGGGGCCCAGAATGAAAAAGGCATACACGGCACAAACAGCCATTAGGATAGGGATGGTGGCTGGCAAGGGACAAAATAAGGCAGCTTCAAACAAGGAATAGCTATCACTTGAGAGTATATTGAGCACCTGAAAAGAAAGCGCATGGATTAGACTTCAGAAGGGCCACCCAGCCTTTTCCTCAACTGAAGGCTTTCAGAGTGGCCAAAGGGCTGAAGGGAGCGGCCTTAAAGGGAATGGGGAGGCAGGCATCAGGGGACTAGCATGAGGCACTCTGGTGGGGCCTTGGAGAGAACAGTTTTTAGAACTGAGAATCCTAACGAAGAAAGACTAAGGAGCAGCATCGCCATCTAAGAGCACGCGGGAGAAGCTGCTAGTTGCCTCCTCTGTAGCTCTCTTTCCCTATTAGTCCAACTCTGCTCCATTCAGGACAGTGACGTGTCCAGGTAAAAGACTACACCTCCTTTTGTCAAAGGAGTGTGGCAATTGACAGCGTTAACTTCCATGACATGCAAGCCAACATGGGACTTCAGGGAAGAATGCTTAAAGGGATCAACCCAGGCCGCCTTCTCTCGTCCCTCCTATCAGTTACCTGCACCATGGCTGGGACAGCCAGACCTCCTGCATTCATCTGAAACCATGGAAAATATGTGCTGGGACAGTAATGAAGGAAGACAGAGCGATCTAGAAGTCCCCATGCCAGCCCTGGTTTGTCTTCTTGTGGATTTATTTTACATAGTGGTGAATAAATACATCTTGTTTAGTACATTGTTTTGTGTGCGTGCGTGTGTGTATGTATGTATATATAAAAATATGTGTATATATGTATATGTGCATTTGTATAGATGTGTATATGTGTGTGTATATATATACACACAAGATGAATTTATTCACCTCTATGTAAAATAAATATACGTGTAAATAAATATATACACACACAAATGAATCTGGATCAGTTGTGAATCCAGATAATGGATGAATCCATCATAATGGATGCTTTACTTATAGAGCAACTATAAGAAAGGAGCAGGTCCTTTTCCTTACTTCACACCTTCACACCACCTGAGGTTTCCCTGACTATGGAAACTTTCTTGCACAAAGAGTGAAAATTTGATTGCCAAATTTGATTAAAGACTTAAGAAATGTCAGCTGTGAAATCTAGCAGCATGGTCTTCATTAGGATGTCCACATACTTCACTCCCAGAATTATCAGCTCCATTGGCCAATTGTGTCTACACTGCTTCAGTATCCTGAATGACCAATTGATTTCATTGAGAGTGTGTCTACACTGCTTCAGTATCCTGAACGACCACCAAAAGGCTTAGCTGAAGTTACCCCTAAGGTGCATTGAATAGTTTCACATTTCCAACTTGCATGGGACCCTCTTTCCCTGAATTCAATCTATGTTTTGCGTCTCGTCCACCTCCCTTAGCAGGAAGTTGGGACTGGACGGGTTGGACATGAAAAGGGAGCCAGAGGCTCCATCCGGGAAGCACTTCTCATGCTCACCCAGGAAACTCGGGATTTATTTTTGCCACGTTAGACTGCCTCTAGGTCAGCGTACCTCACCAACAGAGATGTGTGTCAGCGTCTTGAAGGACACCAGGTTTTCGAACACCACAGTGGAGAGGGCCACCTTCAGCCGGATTGCCGTGCGGTAATTTATGGCCCAGGCAAGCGCCCAAAAGATGACTTTGGTAAACTCGGTGGCAAAAAGCGCTACGCACAGGCCGACGCCAACCCAGACATTCTTGGAGATGTTCTCAGTCTGCTGGAGGATTTGGTGAATGAGAACCGTCTGTAAAACAGCGCGGTGGAGAGAAGAGAGGCCACTGGGGGTTGAGGTTGGTAGAGGAGGCCTCGGCTAATGCCAGCAAGCTGACTTTATGAGGCAAACTTTTTAATTAATTTCAGTGGCTGTGGCTGCTGTGCTTGACGAGGATTAGCGTTATGAAAATTCACCCCCGAGGAGCTCAAAGATAATGACAGTGTGCTGAAGTCACCAGCTCGGAGAGAAAGTAAGGCATGGTGTTCTCTGCCAGTCTGGGGCCTAGGAGACAAGGCAGAACAAGGCCAGCCCCACTCACCGGCCCAATGGCAGCCATGACGATGCACAGGATGTTGGCCACGATGTCCATCAGAACGCGGGTTCTCTGAAATTTCCAGACCACCCGGCCCAGAGAGGCCTTCTCAGGCCCAACCTTTTCTACCTCTTCATCCCAAAGAATTCGAAACCTGTGGCAAAAGAACAGGAAGCAGGAAAGGAACATGTGTTTCTCCTGGCTATTTACTCCAATGGCCACACCTTGCAAGGGTGCTTAGTGCAACCCTCATCCCAGAGCGGTGGCTCCAGACAAGCAAACTAGGGTCTCTCCTTTCCAGGGTGGTGGGATGCGGGAGGCAGCACCAAAGTCTGGACACAAGCCCAAGTTGGTGTCTGGCTCTTCCTAGGCCTTAATTTTCTAATATCTGTCCTAATTATCTAATATAAGTCAGAGGCAACAAGAAAATCAGGAGAAAACTCTTCAGGGCAGGGAAGAGTTTACTCATTTCAAATATCTGAAAAAGCCAATGAGATGGGAGCATGGCAAGCAAAGGAGAAGGGTTGACATCATACCCAGAGGAAGTGAGGAAGGGGTCAAATCTTGTGGAATCTCAAAGTTTTAGGAAAGAAGTTTAGATTTCGTTCTGGGTGCAATGAAATCCATTGCAGATTTTTAAGCTGATGTGACAAGATCATTTTACCTATCTAAAAGAGCGTGCTGGCTACTGTGAGCATAATGGATCACAGAAGAGAAAACGGCAAGAGCAGAGAGGCCACAGGAGACCGCATCTGGGTGACTTGGCACTGGATTGAAGGCAAGATGAACAGAGAGCTACAGGTCTTCTGGGTGAGGTAGAAATGAGAGAAAAAGAGAAGGGGGTCAAAGGTGCCAGTGGTCCAGTTTGAACAACTTTGGAGTTTACAGAGATTGGGAAAGAGAAAGAGGAGTATCATCATGAGATCAGGAAAACAGCTTACAAGTCACCAGATGCAGCTGTCCCACCAACCGCTGGACACACAAATTGAGCAGAGTCATGGACTGAAGACACTCGTGGGGCTTTTGTGAGCATGTGCTTAGTGTTGGAAGTCTTTGGAGTGGATGAGGTCACTTCGGGACAGGCATGGTTTGGAAGAGGAGAGGCCTGAGTGAGTGTTGGGGGAATGGAAATGTTAAATAAAGATGGACATCCACAGAGAAGGCAGTCCAGTCCGGCCCTCCACCGACACTGGTCCTGCCCCAATCTCTCAGCTCGTTGGCAACTTTCTCCATACTGTGGATCTAGAAACCACCACTGGGAGAGGCTCCTGCAGTGCTCAGAGGCGGGAAGCGGAGTTGTAGATGCCCTGCAAGTCCACGACCTGAGCTCCCCATCCTTGAGCTCATACTCCAGCTAGGTGTTCCACTTTACCCCATGTGGCCAAAGGTACAGACACTTCCAGAAGAAAGAAGTGCCGAGAGGAGGCTCTGAGAACTTCCCCTCTGCGTAAGGCAATATGGTTCATAGAACCTCCACATTCAATGTCACTCTTAGAAAGGAGGTTGCTGTTTTGGGACTGACATGGAAAAAGTCTGATGAATGGTTACCAGAAAACAGCAACTCTTCCCTGAAAACATACCTAAGGCATGTGCTTATTTTGTTGTTTATAAAAGAAAAACATGAGGCAAGAGCAAGGAGGAAAAGAAGCCTTGATGTGCTTGGAGATGTTTAATGAGGGTAGAAACATTCGAGACACTTCTACCTTGCACTTACTTACCAGCACTTAGCTCCGGGCAGCAGAACTGGGGCTTCCCCACTGCCTATGCTTCTGTTGCTTGACATGTTAATAAAGACTATGAACTAGGCTGAGTCAGTAAAATTTATATTTTTGCAAGTCAAAGTCATCAAATAGCAGTAGTTTCTATTCAACCAAATTGCACCTGGTTATAGAAAAGGTTGATAATGATTTTTAAAGTGAAATAAAGTCTGATGCCTGGAGTCACAGGCAGAGCCCGCCAGGGCCCCCCAGCACACAGTAGAGGGGAGCCCGCCAGCCCTGTGCTGACACAATGCTCCTGCTGAGCCACAGACAGCCTAGCCAGAAAGTGCTGAGCCTCAGTCATGGCTCTCCACAGTCCTTTTTCTCCACCTTCCTCCCCATTCCACAGCTCCCAAGAGATTGGGCCAAGACATCCAGCCAGTGCAGCCGCCATCTCAGAGAATGGCCACGGACCCATAGGTGTCACTTCCCACGTGGGGAAACGAAGCCTACAGAGCCACTGGCCCTCCCATGGGCAACTTCCTCTCCCCAGGTGACCCAGCCTATCCTGTACCTTTTGGCGTTGATGTCGGACGAGTCATACAGGGACATCGGAGGCAAGGTGTCCACGGTCAGTGTGTGCCTGTAGCTGCTCATCATCACCGGCGTGAGCCAGGAGAATGTGGCAAAGGAGAGCAGCCCAGCATCATCCACGGGGTTGGGGGCCAGCCTAAGGCACGCAGGACGCTCCATGTCAGACTGGGGACAGCACCGCGCCTCCCTGGCTTGGATTCCTAACGCGGTCATGCCTAGCCCTGTCAAGCTCAGCCCTGTGCTTGACCTGAAAGCCCTCTGAGTAGTGGATGCTGGTGCCAGTTCAGACGGCTTGGGAAAACACCAGGGAGCTTACACGTTGTTGAACACCACCAATAGTGACAATTAAATTGCATACATTTAAGTAAGTTATCTTAAAGTAGAGGCAGTAAATAGTCCAAACATCACTTTAGATGGTACTAGACTTTACTGTTCCCTCTGCTTGTGTAGATTGTTTAGTCTGTCGTGTCTGGAGGGGAGATAGACCACACTTGTATTTAAGGGGCCCTCTGCCTCTCGACCTGATCTGGATGCAGTGACATCACACTGGCCACTTGAAAGTGGACAGGATAGCAGTATTTACATCACAAAAATTGACAAACGCTCCAAAACATGGAATTTACTTAGCCAGTCACTGAACATTTGCGAATGTGCAAAATTCACGACTTACTCATGGGAAAGAGTGTGACTGCTTCAATTAGTATGAGGAAATGGAAGCCTGGCAATTGACATTAGGAGAATCAGACACACATCCTTTGCTCTTAGAAGAAGGCGGGGGGGTTGCAGTGAGAAGTGCAGGGTTTGCCAAGTAGGGGTGAGCACCCAACTAAGACAACATTAACAAAGTATTATGTACCTGAATATTGTAAACATTCCCTAAAAGTTGGTTTTTATGATAAAGTCATACACTGCCTCATAAAATCATCACAACTCAGTGAATTGGATGATTGGGGTAGTTATGATTCTGTGTTATAGAAAGTAGCATCCAGCATAGAGCAGTTGGATTTCTTGGCCAAAGACTTACAATTGGTAAGTGGCAGAGCAGAGATTCAAACCAGTACTTGCTAACTCCAAGGTCCTGTCATTCTAAAACACTCCTTTACCTTGCATCTCCACAAAGCAATTAGAAACAGGCCCCAAAGTGAGTATCTATCCTGCCTGAGGCTAAGGAGGTTAACCTTTCCACAGGAGGAATCAAAAAGTGAATGGTAAAGAAATGGATAAATGTATATGGATAGATGTATGTATTCTATGGATGGATGGGTGGGTAGGTGGATGGATGGATGGGTGGATAGGGAGATGGATAAGTGGATGGATGGGTGGATGGATGGATGGATGGATGGATGGATGGATGGATGGATGGATGGATGGATGGATAGGCTGGAAATTACACCTGGTGGCTCTGTCCTCAACTTCCCTCCAGTCTTCCTCCTGGCTTACTTTGCATGGGGTCTCACTGGAATCATGGTCTTCAGGCTTGGAATATATCTCTCCACAAAGGACCTCTGCTGGCTTCGCCGATCCAGATCTGAGATAAGGTAGGGGCCTTCACCCACCATCTTGAAGGCAGACTAGAGCCCTAGGCTCCTGGCTGAGGGGCACTTTCACTGTGCTGCAGAAAGATGAAAAAGTTTCACCAAGAGATAAGGAGACTGAAATTGAACCAGGCAGCCCATCCTGCACTCAGATGAACTCCCTTACTTCACCCCAGTCCTGGTTTACAGGTTCACCTTCCTTTATGGTTACGTGTGACCAGAAGTCCTGCCACATCCACAAACTCTACCTTGAGGCTTCCTTATTAGCAGAAATATTTAGTCTCTTCTTCTCTACTGGGCTAACTGGAAGAATAAGCACTTGGAAATTTTCTACTGGGAGTCATGGCCAAGAGTGGGGCTCAGCCGTGAAAAACAGACTCCAGAAGATGGGCTTGCTGTCTGTCTAAGTGTGATCCATCCAGGGCAAGTTTTTCACACACACACACACCGCACGTGCACACACACACACTAGGCATTTGTATACCCACATTCTCCTGCTCCTGACCCATGAAGCCTTCCATAATGCCCCCCTCAGGAGCAGACATCTGTGGACAAGCCCACATTCCCCTACTTCTGTAACCATCTCCCCAAAGTAAACCATAACCTAGGTGGACAGGATTTTTTAGGAATCTCGGCCCAGTTCACAAACCAACCATCCCATCCTCCAACTATGTAAGCTCGGTGAGTAGAGAGGAATCCTTCAAAGTTGTGTTTTTCCTAGTTCCAATCCTTTCTGGAAATCCAGTTCAATTCTTGCCCTAAAGATGCGCATCATCCCTCTCCCCATATGCTTTAGATAAAGTCTCCTTAAGCTAAATCTGGTCTATGCTTCCTGTAACTAGAGGCCTCACTATTATATAAGTAAAGGTACCATTCACAAAAATTTTCATTGAAGGTTTTCATAGTAGAAATATAGAATAAATTAAATTCATGGCATGTCAGTGTTGTAAGAATCTTCAGCTGCAATATTGACAAATTTTTCATTATACAGAAGAGGAAGCAGTGCAGTGTTAAGAACTTACTAAAAACTACATATAGTAGCAAAACCAGCATCACAGCTGAATAAGATGTCCCTTGTTCATGTCTGCCCCCCTTCAACAACAATTTGGCATTCACCCACAAACAAACAAACAAAAAAGCGCCTTTCTGAAAACTGTGAAGTTCAGCACCACATTCCGAGAGAACCAAGAGGAGTCACACTCATCCACACATTAAGTTGTTATCAGCATAAAATCATTTATTATATCTATAAGATGATATGATACTGTAAGCCACCAAGCAAAAGCCTCCAGTAGATTCATAAAGATAAAGAAAAGAGAATTGATGCATAACACTACAGAGAATCAGCAATCCACAAAGGAAGGCTGCAAGAGAAAACGAAGGAATATGGGAGCCACAAAAAGAAAAGAAAAAGTCAGAAAACAGTAAATAGCATGAGGATCTCCTTGCCACCGATAACTAATATAAATGTAAGTGGATTAAATTCTCCAACCAAAAGACATAGAGTTATGGAATGGATTAAAAAACAAGACCCATGGTAACAGCACCAAAAGGGTGAAGGAGGGGAGAAATGACCCTATAATTCCAAATTACAGACAATTCCAACATTACTGCAATATAAAATTTTTTAAATCCTATGTGTTCTGGGTTTTTTTTGGTTTCAGTTCTTCTCTCTACCTTGCGTTGATTTGTGTGTGTGGTATAAGACAGTGGTCTCGTTTCAGTCTTTGAGGAGATAGCAATCCAAATCTGCCAACACCACTTACTGAAGTCTTTCCTCGTTCCAGTATGTGTTCTTGGCTCCTTTGCCACAGATTAACTATCCATATAGATAAGGGTTTATTTCTGGGTTCTAAATTCTGTCCATCAGTCTGTGTGCCTGTTTTTGTTCCAGTTTTATGCTGCTTTAGTTACTGGAGCTTTATAGTACAGGGTGAAGTCTACAAGCTTGATCCTGCCATTCTTGCTCATCTGGCAATATTTTCTTGTGATTCTGGTTCTTTTAAGTTCCTATGAATATCAGTAAAGGTTGCTCTTTCTTTTAAGAATTCCATTTGAAATGAAATTTTGATATAGATTACATTGAACCTGTACATATTTAAGTAGGATTACCATTTTGATAGTGTAAATTTTCCAGTCCATGAGCAGAAAATATCTTTTTATTTCTTTGTGTCTTTGCCATTTTCTTTTAACAATGTCTTATAGTTTTCTTCACATAGGTCTTTCACCTCCTTCACTAAGTTTACTCTTAGGTACCTTTTTTTTTTTTTTTTGGTGTAGTTGTAAATTAGGATCATTTTCTTAATTTCTTCCTGTTCTAGTTCATTGTTTGCTTATAAGAAGGCATCTGATATTTGGTATTGATTTTATAACCTGCCACTTTGTTGCACTGATTTGTTGTTTCAATTAGTTTTTTTGGTAGAGTCTAGGGTTCTTTATGTATATTATCATGTCATCAGCCAATAATGTTGGCTAGTAGTGGAAAAAGTGAAAATCTTTGCCTTACACAGGTCTAATGGAAAATCTTTCAATTTTTTTAACCATTAAGAGTGATGTTAGCCTTGGATTTTCATATATGGCTTTTATAATGGTGAGCAATATTCCAATTATCCACAGTTTGTTGAGGATTTTCATCATATATGGGTGGTGAATCTTATCCAGTCTTAACATCTACTGATATCATAGGGATATTACCTTTCTACTTATTGACATAGTAAATTACATTGATTTATTTTCAGATATTGAACCACCCTCATATCCCTAGTATAAATCCCATTTGGTCATGATGTATAACCCTTTTAACATATTGTTGGATTGGGGTTGCTAAGATTTTGTCAAAGATTTTGCACCTGATTTCATTGGGGAAATTCATCAGTAATTTTCTTTTTGTGTTTTTCTTTGTATGGCTTTGTATTTAAAGTACTGATGGTCTTATAAAAGACATCTAGGTATATTTCCTGTTTCTCAGTTTTTTGAAAGAGCTTAAGCAGGGTAAGTATTACCTAATTTTTGAAGGCTTGATAGGACTTGCTTATGAAGATGACTTTGAGGGAGGGTTTTGATTGTGTTTCCACTTTCTTGCTCGTGATTGGTTTATTCAGATTTTCTATTTCTTCCCAATTCAGTCTTGGATGATTGCATAATTCTAATCATCATCCATTTCTTCCATCATCCATTTCTAGGTTATTGATCTTATTAGGATGCAAATATTAACAGTAATATCTTATTATCCTCTGAATTTCTTCAATGTGTGTTGTTATAGGGAAAATACTCTAATGACATAGAGATCCTTTTGGGATTCATCTCCAGCAAAAGGAAAGCATATATATATATATATATATATATATATATATATATATAAACAACTAGAGCATCATCAAACTAAAAAACTTCTGCAGGGCAAAAGAAACTATCACTAAAACAAAATGACACCTTATTGAATAGGAGAAAATATTTGCACACCACATATCTGATAAGATACTAATATCAAAGAACTACAAAGAACTCATACAACTCAATAAAAAGGAAGCAAATAACCCAAACAAAAAATGGAATAATAAATAGGTACAACCCCAAAGAAGACATACAGATAACAACACACACATGAGAAAAATGTTAATCATAATTTATCATTAGGAAAATGCAAATATACATGGACTTGGAAGAAATTATTCTATTTTCTTATTAGTTCAAAAGGAATATTTTTGAGGATTTTTCTTTACATATAGCCTAACACAACTTTTCCAAAATGTTCACTTTCTCTCAATAATAAGGAAATTATTATAAATAAGGTAAGTCAGAAGAGAAAGACAAATACTAGATTTTGTCATATATGAAATATAGATAAATCAAATAAAGTTTCAAATAAACCAAACTAGGATTAGCCCTTAAAAAACTGACTATAGGTCCTCCCTGATGGCACAAAGGGTTAGAACACAGCACTGCAAGCTGGCTGCAGCCTTTTCAATGCAAGTTCGATCATTGGCCCAGAGGTAATCCACATGGCGCAGCAGACCTCTCCTGACCTGCCCATTGCTCCTCTCAGCAGTGTACTGTGTTGATCTGCCTGCTCTGCTCCCCACTCTGTCTCTGGTGAAGCCTCTCAGCACCCCAGCACCTCTGGCCTGTACCCCAGTTCTGTATGCATAAATAAATAGATCTTTAAAAAAAAGAAAGAGAGAAAAATTTCACACAATTTGTGTAAAAAAAATAGAAAAAACTGACTATTGAACTCAGAGGGAGAAGTTATGAGGTGAAAAAAGTGTGGGAAGAGAGTACAAATGGACTATGATACTGAATGATGAGTGTTTTAGTAGTGGATGTAGTGTAGTAACAACACCTGAGGGGGCATCTTGTACTTCTAAAACACAAATAGTGATGTAAATCATTGTTACCTCAATGAAAAAGAAGATAATAAAAGAAAGAAAACATAAAAGAAGAAATGGACAAAACCCAATTATATGTTGCTTACAAAGAACATTCAATTCAGTTTCAGGGACATTCATAGGCTGAAATAAAAAGCTAAAAAAATATATTCCATGCCAATGAAAAGAGAACAGGGATAGTTTTAGTTACAGCATACATTGACTTAAACAAATTTTAAGTCAAGAACTATAACAAAAGACAACAAGGTCATTATATATTAATAAAAAAAGTCAATTTATCAAAAAGATATAACAGTTATATATGATCAGCAATCACATATATATATACATATATACATATAATTGTATGTGTACTATATTATGTGATGTGTACTACAAGTGTGTATATTTGATGGTTTGAGAAAGAGTAAACTAAACAACATATTTCTGAACAACTATTGAGTCAAAGAAGAAATAAAAAGGGAAATCAAAGTGTATCTTGAAACAAATTAAAATGAAAACACAACATAACAAAACCTATGAGGCCTATCAATAGTAGTTCCAAGAGAAGTGAGTTTGTTTTTTTTTAAGATTTATTTATTCATACAGAACTGGGGTATAAGCCAGAGGTACAGGAGTGTTGAAAAGCTTCACCAGAGCAACAGAACAGGTAGATAGAACCATCTGCTGAGGGGAGCAGTGGGAGGG